AGGGCTGCTGCAACGAACAGCCGTGCCAGCCTTTGAGAGGCAGAGACGTCAGAGGGCATCAGAGGAAGGAAAGAGGGACAGAGGCCAGTGTTGCCCGCAGCACCCCTGACCATCATTCTAGGCACCCTAGGGTGCCACGGCACAAAGGTTGAAAGCCACTGGCCTTCACAGTTCAGAGTGATGTTGGGGCAAGTGTGTCTGTGTGTGCCCGTGTCTGTGTGTCTGTACTAGTGCTGGCTGACCCAGGAGCCTTGGATTGATGAAGATTTCTGCCCAGTGTGTGGCAGTTGCAGAAAAAAAGGAAATTCCACACTAGGGATCAGTAGGAAAGGAACTGAAAGTAAAAGCGCTGATGTCATTAATGCCCTTATACAAGCTTGGGGCGCAACCGTGTTTGGAATGTCGCGGGCCGTTCTGGTCCTCTCTCCTCAAAAGGGATATTCCAGAGTCGGAAAAGGTTCCGAAAAGGGCAGCCGAGATTGCAGCGTTTGGGACTTGGTAGTTTCGCAGGAGGGCAAGGATGACGTTTATAAAATTATAAAGGGCATCCGATTTATCGGGATGGGTAAATGTCCTTTTTCACGCAGTGCAGAGTTAAACTGTGGAACTCCCTCCGCAGGAGGCAAGGACAGCCGCCAACCTGAATGGCTTTAAAAGAGAATTGGGCAAATTCACGGGGGAGAGAATTATTCAGAATGCATCTGGAGTATAGAAGGAAGTGATAGTTCTGTGCTGCGGACTCCTGGAAGCTCCCGTGGCGAGCAAGACCTTTTCTCCAAACAATGGGTTATTTTCTTTTTATTCTCTTTCCCCTCTGCCCCGAATGCTGACACGCTGCACACAGGCGCAAGCTCGCTAATGTCTCCTGTTGTCTTTGGCAAAAGTAGAATAAATTGCACAAACTGGATCGGCTTGCTTAAGCTGTTCAGGTCAAAGCAAAATCCCACTCGCCTCAGCTTCAGAAACTTGGTCTACCACGAGATTCTGACATTTCCCCCGGCTGTTGCTGATAATATACTTTCTCGGTTCCCTTTCCAGCTTGAGGGCTAGAAACTTGAAACGGAATTTTTATTTGCCCCCGCACCCCACCCCTCGCTGCTGTTCTGGAATTTCTCTGCTCCGCTCGCCTCCGGTATAACCAGGCAAACTTTCTCTTTCTCAACCGGAGTGAGTGTTCTCTGTTGAAGGAAGCTTCACCCTAAATTGGAAATCTTAAGTGTTCCAGGAGCGGGTGGCAAAGCAGATAATAACAGGGAGGTCTCTTTTTCTTTTCTCTCTCTCCCTCTGCGCTATTGATTTTATACTCTTCATAATAAGTTACCCTTCGTAAAACGTAAGTAAAGGAAGCCCGGCTTAAGCTGCTCTTACGGGAATCGCCGGCTGCAGATTTCCTATCAAAAGCTCTTGCAAAGTTGGGAAAAGGAGGGGGGGAAGGGGAAGGAGGGGCAAACCCGTATTAAAAAGTAGAAGTAGTGGCTAAAAAAGGAGAAAAAGACTCCATTGCAGGTGTAGAGATAAATAATTGCAAGCACCAAGAATCTGCCTCGTTCCACTTTTCTGACCATCTCAAACTGCTGAGAAATTCACAAATACGAAAAGTAACAGGCCTACCCCAGTCGCCTTTTGCACCTGCCCTTTTCAAGTATGCTGCCATGGAACACAGAAGCTCCATTGGATCAGCACGGCTCTGTGGCAGAACATCTGCTATGCGTACAGAAGGCCCCAGCTCCAATCCTTGGCCTCTCCAGGCAGGGCTGGGAGAGACTCCCGGTCTGCAAGAGAGGAGAGCCCCTGCCTGCCGTGTTGACAGTATTGGCCTCAGTGGACGTGGGTGGCACTGTGGTCTAAACCACTGAGCCTCTTGGGCTTGCTGATCGGAAGGTTGGCAGTTTGAATCCCCGCAATGACGGGGTGAGCTCCCGTTACTCTGTCCCAGCTCCTGCCAACCTAGCAGTTTGAAAGCACACCAGTGCAAGTAGATCAATAGGTACCGCTGTGGCGGGAAGGCAAACGGCGTTTCCATGCGCTCTGGTTTCCGTCACGGTGTCCCGTTGCACCAGAAGCGGTTTAGTCCTGATGGCCACATGACCAGGAAAGCTGTCTGCGGACAAACACCGGCTCCCTTGGCCTGAAAGCGAGATGAGCGCCGCAACCTCAGAGTCGCCTTTGACTGGACTTAACCATCCAGGGGTTCTATACCCTTTACCTTTTACAGTGGAGCAATAAGTCTGGTTCCTGCATTTATAGAGCTACCCCCACCCAGCAGAAGGACTCTAGGAAGCCAGTGGACTCTCCTTTAGTGGTTTGGCCTGGCTGGAACATGTTTTCGAACTCTTTGTTGGCTTGGATCAGGGGTCAGCAAACCTTTTCAGCAGGGGGCCGGTCCACTGTCCCTTAGACCTTGTGGGGGGCCCGACTATATTTTGAAAAGGAAAAAAAAAGAATGAATTCTTATACCCCACAAATAACCCAGAGATGCATTTTAAATAAAAGGACACATTCTACTCATGTAAAAACACGCTGATTCCCGGACTGTCTGCGGGCTGGATTGAGAAGGTGATTTGGCCTCATCCGGCCCACGAGCCTTAGGTTGCCTACCCCTGGCTTGGATGGAGGATAGAGAAGTTTGTGTGTTTAGAAACAAGCCTGCCTTACAAAAGTAAGATCTGCCTTCATGGCACCTACTCACTTTCCCCTCTGGCCCTGCCAGCCACTGATATGTGGCCCGCCTGGTGCAGAATGTGGCCCTCAGCCTGAGAATAAGTCATCCCACCCCTCCTCTCTGTCCTACCTCTCAGGGTTGTTGCGAGGAGGCAAGCAGGGGCAGGACCTTGTGGAGGAAGGTTGGGGTATAAAAGAAGAAGAGATAAAGAGATGGGCCACTTGTCTTGGATTCTTTAGTTGAAGTTCCTAGGACCTCGTACCTATGGGACCGCCTCTCCCGGTAGGCCCCACGGAGAGCCTCAAGGTCCATAAATAGCAACACCCTAGTGGTCCCGGGCCCTAAGGAAGTCAGATTAGCTTCAACCAGAGCCAGGGCCTTTTCAACACTGGCCCCGGCTGGTGGAATGCTCTGCCTCATGAGACCAGGGCCCTGCAGGATCTGATTTCTTTCTGCAGGGCCTGTAAGACAGAGTTGTTCCGCCTGGCCTTTGGCTTGGAGCCCATTTGATTCCCTCCCCCTCTTTCTTTTTCCTTTCTCCTCCTGTGAGGAGGCTGCATTTTAATATTTTAATGTTTCAATATTTTAATGTTGTGTTTTAATCTTGTTTTTAAGTTGTATTCATTCAACTTGTTTTTATTATTGCTTGTTAGCTGCCCTGAGCCCAGCCTTGGCTGGGGAGGGCGGGGTATTAAAAAAAATTATTATTATTGCAAGGGGGTTGGGCTGGATGACCTTTGGGGGTCACTCCCAGCTTGACAGTTCTGTGATCCTATCAAAGGCACCACCGCCTGGCCGTCTTTGAGAGGGGGAGAATCTACCGTAAGTCCGAGTTCACCCTTCTCGAACCCCCGTCTGTACAGAGAGATATTTCTCTTTCCACTTCTTCATCCTGCATGAATTACGCAGAATGATTAACTCCATACGGCGGTTTTGCATAATCTATTCAAAGGGTGGCTCTTCTCCTGGGAACTGGGAACCCCGTTTTCAAAACAGGAAAAGATAAAAAAGAACGGGCCTTCTCTTTTGTGAGATTCCACGCCACAGGTATATCGTCCCAGCGGCTTGAGGGCTAGAAACGTGAGGATTTTTTTTTTAATGCTCAGATTTCTGCCCCCACCCATCCGACGATGCCGAATTCTACCTCCATTCTATCTTCTACACCGTGGCGTCTCCAGATTTTATTTTTTTGAAGGGGACTGCAGAGCAGTTGACGGGAAAGACCCCGCGATTCTGAGAGAGCTGCTGCCAGAGCATGCGGCAAATTGGGGAGGGACTTTCTGCCGCCCTCCTCCAGGGCCTCTTTCCTTGCTGCTGCCGAAGGAACACGAAGAATAGCATATGGACCCTTTCAGTTCTTCTTTTTTCCCCAATTTTTTAAATTAATTTTCCAGAATTTTTTTTTAAACAAACAAACAAACGTAAATCTCAACCGTATTTAAACCAAACTTAATAACATTGTTACATGACTTCCCTGTATCCCCCTTTTTGAATTTCAGTGTATATCATTTTAACGGTTTTCCAAAACCTATATTCTTAAAGAATTAACTTAATCGCTTGACATCTTTCTTTCTTTGCAGTTCAGCATTAAACATATTAATTCGTCACATTACGTATTTAAATCCTAAGCCTGTCTGTTATTTGCAAGCTTTCCCAATTAGTTTGGACCCTTTCAGTTCTTATAAAGTGTCCATATCGCTCAGTCTGCAGAGCACGAGGCTCTTGGTCTCCGGGTTGTGGGTTCGAGTCCCGCGCCGGGCGAAAGATTCTTGCATCTCAGGGGGTCAGAATAGGGGACCTCCGGGTCCTTTCCAGCGCTACAAGTTCTGTGATTCTAAAGTACAGTGGTACCTCGGGTTAAGTACTTAATTCATTCCGGAGGTCCGTTCTTAACCTGAAACTGTTCTTAACCTGAAGCACCACTTTAACTAATGGGGCCTCCTGCTGCTGCTGCCGCGCCGCCGGAGCACGATTTCTGTTCTCATCCTGAAGCAAGGTTCTTAACCTGAGGTACTATTTCTGGGTTAGCGGAGTCTGTAACCTAAAGCGTATGTAACCTGAAGCGTATGTAACCCGAGGTACCACTGTAATGAGAAAGGACATCGGCGGCCCCAGCAGCTGGGAACGGCTGGACGTCTTTCAAGAGCACAGACTGACACCTTTTAAACAGCTACTATCTTTTAGCTGCGTTCTTTTAACAGCGTCGTAAAAAAGGAGATGGCTTTGCTCGTAAAGGACAAGCCATGTGTCGCTCGCTTAGGAAGAAAGCCAAGCGAGAGATTTAAAGCTTCCCAAACCTTAAATTATTCTGTGTCTTCCTCCTCTCTCTCCCGCTTTCGCAGCTCCAATTCCAGTCCGGTAGAGCCCGAGACACTCACTCTTGGGGTTGTGGGTTCGAGCCCCGTGTTAGGCAAAAGGTTCCTGCATTGCAGGGGGTTGGACTGGATGACCCTCGGTGCCCCTTCCGCCACGACAGTTCAGCAATACTATGGCTGCGGCTTCTGCAAACTTCCTAGATTTTGCTTGCAGGGTGCCTTGAAGCGGGAAAGGCTGAGCGTTGGCATAGGACTCTGGGCACAGTGCTAAGCTGGGGGTGCATGTGTTTCACACAGTGAGTAGGGGGACGGGACGGTGACTTCCAGACGGCCTTCTTCAGTGCATGAACCAAGGCACAATGGAAACACCATATTTTTCGCTCTATAAGACGCACCAGACCACAAGACGCACCTAGTTTTTGGAGGAGGAAAACAAGAAAAAAAATATTCTGAATCTCAGAAGCCAGAACAGCAAGAGGGATCGCTGCGCAGTGAAAGCAGCAATCCCTCTTGCTGTTCTGGCTTCTGGGATAGCTGCACAGCCTGCATTCGCTCCATAAGACGCACACACATTTCCCCTTGCTTTTTAGGAGGGAAAAAGTGAGTCTTCTAGAGCAAAAAATACGGTAATCACTTTCCTACACAGGTGAGAGGAGTGGACCTGTAGAAAATCAGGCTAGCTGGCTCTCAGGAAGGCTTGTCCTGTTGAGCCAAGCTGGAAGGCGTAGTCCCTCCTGGGGGCCAGAATCCGTTAGCAGTGATCTGTCGGGGGCCGCATGCCATGGGGATGAAACCACTTAGTGGGGAAGAGGCAAAAGTTTGTGACGTTAACTCCCTCTCTCTGTCTGTCTTTGACACCTCATTTTTTCAGTATTAGAAACTCAGATATATAAACTAATCGCCAAATGGCACCTTAAAACCTAGGTTGCACTCGCCACAATGGAAAGTCCAGGCACCGTTTCTTTTTTACAATGAGATTTCTTATTACTATTCCTGTCTATACTGCTTTATAGTTTAAAGAAAGCAGTTGACAACACATTAAGACGCCAAATAAAACAATCCAGAATGAACAAATTCAGGCTTCAATTAAGTATTTCAGATCCTTCTCTAAGTGACATTTTGCTTTCTTCCCTATTTACCGTATTTTTTGCACCATAACACTCACTTTTTTCCTCCTAGAAAGTAAGGGGAAATGTCTGTGCGTGTTATGGAGGAAATGCCTACGGGTGGCATGCCTACGGATTTTCCTCCTCTAAAAACTATGTGCGTGTTATGGTCGGGTGCGTGTTATAGAGCGAAAAATACGGTATTTACCTACTTAGTTTATAGATCTGCCCCATGGCAGAAGGACTCTAGGAAGGCAGTGGGGTGTAGTGGTTAGAGGGTCAGACTAGGACCTAGGAGCTGATGGTTGAAATCCCCACTCCGTCAGGAAGCTCACAGGGTGACCTTGGAAACAGTCGCAGCCTCCTGACCTACCTCACAGGGTTGTTTTCGGGATTAACTTGGGGGGGGTGAACCATGGAGAAAAAGGTGGGAGATTAATGCAAGGAACAAACTCTTCTGCTGCCCTGCTTCAGAAAGCTGGAGGGGCCAGCCAGATGGAGATGTCAGTAGCCAGCCAGGCGTCCAGAGATCTCCACGCGGTCGCAATTGGATCTGCGCCACTTGCAAAACACGCCTAGGAGATTTCGAACACTGTTTGTAGTCCAGCGACAGCTGGGGACCCAAGTCTGAGAAACACTGCCAGCGGTATTTTGTTGTCCACTGTGACGACAGGGTGCTGGACTCGGTCTCAATTCTTCTTGTTGTTTAGTCGTGTCCGCCTCTTTGTGACCCCCTGGACCAGAGCACGCCAGGCCCTCCTGTCTTCCACTGCCTCCCACAGTTTGGTCAAACTCATGCTGCTAGCTTCGAGAACACTGTCCCACCATCTCGTCCTCTGTCATCCCCTTTTCCTTGTGCCCTCTATCTTTCCCAACATCAGGGTCTTTTCCAGGGAGTCTTCTCTTCTCATGAGGTGGCCAAAGTCTTGGAGCCTCAGCTTCAGGATCTGTCCTTCCAGTGAGCACTCAGGGCTGATTTCCTTCCGAATGGAGAGGTTTGATCTTCTTGCAGTCCATGGGACTCTCAAGAGTCTCCTCCAGCATCATAATTCGAAAGCATTCTTCGGCTTTCTTTATGGTCCAGCTTTCACTTCATACATCACTAGCTTGGCCTTTTTAAAGGTGAGCCGTTCGTCTGGAATGGAAGTTGTTAATGGTGAGAGTTCACAGCAGAGTTCCTGCAAATCTTCGGGTACCTTTGGCTGCCCTCGTGCAGCTGGTTTCTCTTTCCGTTTGTCGCAGACAGAAGGGGAAACCCGGCTTGCGAAATCAGTCCCAACAACGTAGCTTTGTCGCTTTCCAAGGAATTCCAGGCATCTTAGACCTCAAGGCAGAGGTGGTGGCAGCAGCTGATCTGCGAAACCGGCTGTTCCCCAGGCCACAGACTCTTGCCTCAGAGCTCTGGCGCATCATGCGGAGTTGTTCCCAGGCCCTGTGGCGCAAGACCCTTATCTGAACATCAGGAGAGTGTCAGCATCGCCCTTGAGCCAGTGCCACCAACTGGACTCACACACTTCAGCCCCAACTGGGCTAGGCGAGCTGGGTAGCACTTCCAGAGACCACCTTCTGCACAGGAACAGGTCAAAGTGCTGTGGACTCACAGCTTGGAGTTGTGAGCACCGGATTCACTCCCACAAGAAGACAGTCGTCACACAGCAGAGTACAGCAGAGTATAGCAGAGCATAAACGACTCGGAGAGCAGCTCTGTAGAATATCTTCTTTTATTCTATCTACAACTATAATACACAACCATGTACAAAAGCATCCATTCTTCGGCGATCGGCCTTCTTTATGGTCCAGCTCTCACTTCCATACATCACTACTGGGAAAACCATAGCTTTAACTATACGGCAAGGTGATGTCTCTGCTTTTTAAGATGCTGCCTAGGTTTGTCATTGCTTTTCTCCCAAGAAGCAGGTGTCTTTTAATTTCGTGGCTGCTGTCACCATCTGCAGTGATCATGGCTCTGATATTGGTAAGATCAGACAGTTTGCAAAACGGAGCTCACATCCCACATGAGAGGACTCATGTTACAGGACAATAAAGCGTCTTTAACGCCTGCCTTTCTTCCTCCTTCCTTCGCTACTTTAGGGCATGTTGCAGCGAGGAGGGTGCCGGTGAAGCCTCTCACTCTCCTTTCCTCTGCCACTGCGCAGCAATCGGGACCGCTCGTTTCATCAACAGCTTCCTCCATGAGGTGGCAAGAAGCCTGATGCCCTCTTCGGCCCTCACCATGGATAGCGGGAAAAGCTTCCACCCGCCTTGCACACACCAGCAGCCGGTCAACATGTTTTGCGGGGTGCCCACCCTGCCGGCCCAACTAAGCATGCCCACCCTAGAGGTGAGTAATCATAAGAATACTAATACAGTGGTGCCTCGCAAGACGAAATTAATTTGTTCCGCGAGTTTTGTCGTCTTGCGATTTTTTCCGTCTTGCGAAGCACGGTGTCGGGAAAGTTTTGGAAAAGCTTCAAAAATCACCAAAGTCCTCAAAAACCTCAAAAAAGGCTACCACACCGCGTTCTATGAGTTGCTCCTCGAAGTCAAGTCGCAGCTGTATTAACGGTGTTAAGAAAAAGGAAACAAACTTGCAAGGCGTTTCCGTCTTGCGAAGCAAGCCCATAGGGAAAATCGTCTTGTGAAGCAGCTCAAAAAACAAAAAACCCTTTCGTCTAGCGAGTTTTTTGTCTTGCGAGGCATTCGTCTTGCGAGGTACCACTGTAATACTAATAATTTATTATTTATACCCTGCCCATCTGGTTGGGTGTCCCCAGCTCCTCTGGGTGGCTCCCAAGAGAATATTAAAAACACAATAAAGCCTCAAATATTTCAAACCTTCCTAAACAGGACTGCCTTCAGATGTCTTCTCAAAGTCAGATAGTTGTTTATTTCCTTGACATCTGTTAGGAGGGCATTCCACAGGGCAGGTGCCGCCACCGAGAAGGCCCTCTGCCTGGTTCCCTGTAACCTCACTTCTCGCAGAGAGGGAACCGCCAGAAGGCCCTCGGCGCTGGACCTCAGTGTCTGGGCTGGACGATGGGGGTGGAGACGCTCCTTCAGGTATACTGGGCTGAGGCCGTTTAGGGAAGGGTCTCCTCGCGAGCCACGAGGACTCTCTCCCGCCGCATCCGGATTTCAATCCACATTCGTACCTTGGATCCCGAACGCCTTTGAACTTGGACGTTTTGGCTCCTGAACCCCGCAAACCCAGAAGTGACTGTTCCGGTTTGTGAACCTTCCTTTGGGACCTGAACGCCCGGCGGGGCTTCCGATTGGCTGCAGGACCTTCCTGCAGCTAATCGGAAGCCGCGATTTGGTTTCTGAACATTTTGGAAGTTGAGCAGACTTCTGGAACGGATTCCGTCCGAGGTACAACTGTATTTATTTATTGGGGGTGGGATGGGTTCTCAGGGTTGGAGACCTCAGGCCTGGGTCCAAACACAGCCCTCCATGCCTCTTATCAGGTTCCCTGAACTCGCTCCCCAAAACATGCACCTCAGTGGCCTTGCCTTGCACCCTTCTTGAGTGTTTTTGCATCTCCGTCAGGGCTGCATCCAACTAAGTTCTACTTGTGAGTAGACCCACTGAAATGACGGGGAACCAGAGTTAATAATAATAATAATAATAATAATAATAATAATAATAAATTTTTATTTATACCCTGCCCTCCCCAGCCAAGACCGGGCTCAGGGCGGCTAACAACCAATAATAAAAACAAGTTGATTAAAATACAATTTAAAAGATTAAGATACAACATTAAAACAATTAGGGAGCAATCTCTTCATAGGAGGAGAAAGGAAAAAGAAAGAGGGGGGAGGGAAGCAAACTTATTCTGAGCCAAAGGCCAGGCAGAACAACTCTGTCCTGCGGAAAGAAATCAGATCCCGCAGGGCCCTGGTCTCAAGAGACAGAGCATTCCACCAGGCCGGAGCCAGTGTTGAGAAGGCCCTGGCTCTGGTTGAGGCTAATCTAACTTCCTTAGGGCCCGGGAC